AAATTAATTCGCCAATTTGTCGATGCTAAGTAGCCGATATTCGCTCTAGCCCTAAAATCCTGACCCAAAAACACACAAATGAATTGTTTTACAACTCCATTCCTCACAAAATCCCCAATCAAGTTTGTGATTCCCCAGACATTTTATTAAGTAGCCTAAAATAGCCTTTTCCTTATCACTTTTTAATAACTGCACGACCCCTCTAAGTAGCCTAAATGGCGAAAAATCGCTTAATCTGGCGATGACTGTAACCACATTGTAACTGTCTGTTTTTTTAATTTATTTCATGGACATGGTTGGTCATGGATACAGTTAAATGGGAAGGTAAAGCCACTAATATTTTAAAAAAGGTCAAACTGTCCGTCACAGCTAGTGTTACCAGGGCTGTTATTATTTCTTTCCATCTTCCCTTGAGTCGAAAATTGTGTTTGGTTCCCTGTGACATTGGTGCAAAAGTTATATTGTCTTTTTTCATTTTTAATAATAAGCATTAAATTATTATATAATTTTAAATCTACGAGATTTCTATTATCTAGGAATTTTGGAGCAACGGTTTTTAACCTTTGCCTTTTCCTCTATGGCTCAATTTATATTGCGGCGAAAAGAATGGAAGCGAATTTTGGTAACGATATCATATCATTATCATTGCATAATGAACTCTATGATCAATTATATATAACGTACAAACTAGATACGAGCCAAAATGTTTCGCGGAATACTCGTGTATGCTATGTACAGATATCGTTACAAAAATTCGTTTTCATCGTTTCCATATGGTTTCCATCCATAAATTGAGCCTAACGGAGCGAATTAAAAAAAAACAACAATGTAGCACCACTAGAATCCATACTAGAATGAAATAACGTTTCACGGGCTGGGCCTTTGCTTTGACAACCCACGTAGTCTGTGTATACAACGGCTGGGTCAAGTGATAGGCATGATAACAGATTGTGCTAGCATGCCAGAGGCACTGGCGATGGCGTACTTGGAAACAAGGAATGGTTGCAACACAATGATAATAATAGTTCAATATGAATGAGGAATAATACGATAAAAAATCATTTACTATGGCTACAAATTGTAACGTTTTAGTTGTGTTGCTATGGTTACTGATTTGAAATGAAAATGACGCAATTTCAATCAAGAAATATATGTTTAAACTTGTAGTTTTTGATATAAACTTTGAAAACCATTCATAGAAAGTAAAATAAATTTGCAAAAAGAATATTTTCGAAGAGATGTGTGGCTAGCTAGGTCGCAAAAATTAGGTATACATATATAATAACATGTCGGTGCAGAGGATTCTACAATTTGACTGAGTGTAAATTACATCAACCGTGGATCAAATAGTATAATCTAGTAATACAATTGTGATAACGACGCAAGAATGGCGCGGTAAAGGCGGTGCGCGGCGCCATGAACCGGTACGTGGTGCTGCAGCAGCTTGGGGACGGCACTTATGGCTCCGTGGTGCTGGCGCAGCGCCGCGACACCGGAGAGAAGGTGGCCATCAAACGTATGAAACGCAAGTACTACTCGTGGGACGAGGCCATGAACTTACGCGAGGTGAAATCGCTTAAGAAGCTTAACCACGCCAACATAGTGAAATTGAGGGAGGTGATCCGAGAGAACGACACGCTCTATTTCGTGTTTGAGTACATGCGAGGCAACCTCTACCAATTAATTCGCGACGCCGAGCGGCCGTTCGCCGAACCTGTGTTGCGCAACATACTGTTCCAAGTGCTGCAAGGCCTGGCGCACATGCACCGACACGGGTTCTTCCATCGTGATCTCAAGCCCGAGAACCTTCTGTGTTGCGGGCCCGAGCTGGTCAAGATCGCCGACTTGGGGCTGGCGCGTGAGGTGCGTTCGCGGCCACCCTACACCGAGTACGTGTCGACGCGCTGGTACCGCGCGCCCGAGGTGTTGCTGCGAGACACGCGGTACGGCGCACCCATCGACCTCTGGGCGCTTGGTTGCATCATGGCCGAGTTATATACGGCGCGGCCGCTCTTCCCTGGTAACTCGGAAATCGACCAGCTGCACCGCATCTGCGCCGTGCTGGGCACGCCCGACCGTGACGCCTGGCCAGAGGGCTACGCGCTGGCGGAAGCGCTACGCTTCCGCTTTCCGAGCGCGGGAGCCGTGCCACTGGCGCGCGTGGTGCCCACAGCCTCGCCACCTGCGCTGGCGTTACTCACCGCGCTACTTCGCTACCCCCCACGCGACCGCCCCACCGCGCCACAGGCCTTACGGTGCGTAATACTGGCGCAAGGTGCCCAAGTGTTCAGTTTTTTTAACCTTAGCTAATTTTCCATAACTCATGCTCTGAACAGACTGACGTCCGGTTAGGTTCCGTAACAGTTACGTATTTCGGCAAATCTATATACCTAATAATAATCGAGGATTTTTGTTAAGTAGGTAGGTATTTCTATTATGCAATCTGGGGAAATGCCCTAAAATCTGGTGATCGAAGCATTTATCTATCATACATGTTGCATTTTGAATGACCTACCGAACTTCCGCTCACTCACTCAAAAGAGTAGAAAATATGTGCAATTTTTTTTTTTTATTTAATTATAGATACGTGTTATAAATTAAATGGACACGTGAGCAAATAGGATGTGATATGCAGGCACAAGGATTGACAAACAAACTCTATAGAACTTAACAAATAGGAGGATATATACTAAATGTTTAATGCTTTTTGGGCAACAATTACAATAAATAATAAAGTACCTATTGAGAATTGAATGACAAAAGTCACAGTCGCTACAAAATTGTATATAAAATGTTCCACACCAAAATTGGAATTGATAGATGGATTGCTCAAGTTAATTCGCTCGCGGTGAAGTGGGGTCGTGAAGACAGGCTTGTAAAGTGGTTTCCCACTGGCGAGGCGAGAATTGAAATCTCGTCGGCCTATTCCCAACAAAAATTGTTATTAAGAGCACGAGCTCGCGCTGTGGTTGTTGATAGTGACGATTCAGTTCGTCTAGCGATAAAGTTGTGGCTGAAGTCACAAGTCTCGTAAATTATTATTATTAAATATGTTAACGGAAGGAGAATCTATATACCCCACAATCTCGCGATTTATATTAATAGTCATTGCGAGATCGTGTGGTCACTCGCGAGCTCGCGCGAGAAATCGTGTTTCCGTTGCAAAGTACCTGTAACACTCTATGTAGGCAATAGTACGGTTCAATGTTACATAAACAAATATATCAATACTCGCCTTGCCCTATCCCCTTCAGTCCAGATCATTTCCACCGAAGATGCGCTAGGAGAGAAATTTGCAATAGAAATTTTATACAATTTGCCTTAAAGTCTCGCATGATACTCTCGCTCGTGTTGTGACAGACAGGACCATTAACGTTTTGATGTTTATGTTTTGTAGGTTCCCTTACTTCGCCGTGGGTGCCGCGCTCGTGTTGCCTCCGCCAATGTCGCGCGCTAGAAGGTATCTAACTCGGTTAATTCTTACGATTATCACTAGTTTAGTTACAGGTTAATATTTATGGCACGGCTTTTGCGAGTCTTCCTGGAAACTGATGATAATCGTTTAGTGAACAACCACATATCTCGGAATCGGGTAATGTTTCTTCGTAGGAGATAAAGAATACAAGTGACCAATGCCAATACTATATTACTTTGTAGAAGCGCCGCTCGAGCTGAAACCGAGAACGCGCCCCCTGCGGTAGCCATCGCCCCGCCGCCAGGCTGGACGCCGGCGCCGGCGCCGGCGGCCATCGCCGCGCCGCCAGCACAGCTACGTGATCATTTCGCCGACATTTTGGGGTGAGTCTTAGTTTGACAGGGTCTGTCGCAAGCCTTTTAAGCAAGCTTCCTCTTATGGACTTCCCACTGACCTTTGCAATTGGATTTCAAATTTCTTGAGTGAACGTTCGATTCGAGTGGTCTTAGAACTTTCCGAACATCGGGAGTTAGATTCCTTTTCGTGACATATTAAATACCGATAGCCGACCGTCTTCAGCTACTTGGAATGGACCTGTCGTTGAATCTAAACTTCGACAGAAACATTGAATCCATGGCAAAAAATGCAGCTTGGCATCCTTTCCAAGTTGCCTCTGTTGTACGAAGCACAAGGCGTGTATGGAGTACTGTTGCCATTATGGGATGGCTCTGCTAAATACCAACTGGCCACCTTGGATACAATTGACAAATGTGCCAAGAGGCATATAAGTGAGTTGGAATTAGTAGAGGCGAAGCTACCAGAGCCTTGAACACCGCCGTAAATGCGTTTCGCTTCCACATTTATATGGCGAGCGGCTAGGGAGTGGAATTCCCTGCTTGCGGACTTGTTCCCCGAACGCTACCTATAACTTGGACCTTTTCAAGACGAGAGTGAATAGGCATTATTTAGGTGTGCATGCTACATCGTCACTTTCCATCTGGTGAGATGGAGGTCAAATGCCCAGTTATTTTTTATAAAAAGAAAAGAGTCAGGCGCACAGCGTTGTCGGCGTTCGGTGACGCCCACACTCAGTCGTTGTTTGCAGAGGAGAAGTCGTGCACGAGGCGGGGGGCGCGGGCGGCGCGGCAGGTGACGAAGGGCTGGACGGCCGTGAGGTGCTGCGGCGCGAATGGCGCTCCGAGCCGCGCGGCCGCAGCGTGCTGGGCGCGCTGCAGCCGCCGGCGCTCCGAGGGGCGATGCCGCTGCGCGCGCACGCGGGCGCGGCGCTGCAGGGGCTCGCGCCCGCCGGGCCCGCCGCCGCCGCCGCGGCCTACTTGGGTGCGTCGCGCTACGTGGCGGGCTCTCGCATCGCCAGCGCGCTCCTCCCACCGCTCGCGCTGCGGCCGCATTGCGGCAAGCCTCGCAACGCCCCCGGCTGGGGGGTGCCGCTCGGGCTGCCTCCTGCCTGCAGCTGCTCCTGCCTGCAGCCTGCTCGCTTTTATCGGAAAGTACAAGGGAGCTATAAACCTGAGCAGCGTGCTGTGGCGGTAGTAGCATTTGGAATTCTGTTAGGTTCTGAATACGAGTTAGGTACGAGTACCTTGATAATATAAGTGCTTCCTATTCGACATCAATAAATACACAGCTCCTGAGTTAGTAGGCGTGCCGCAGTAACTGCTCGCGGTCTCGACTGCGTTGCAAGCAGTTGTATAAATATCGACTTCGCATGAAATGCAGAAGGAGGTCACTAGGTGTTCACCGCTACGTGTAACACTAATTAAAACTACATTGTTTTTATAAATGAATAATGCATTTAAGAAAAAATATTATTACCTACAGAACGTGAATATTTAGTCAATAATTTGGCATTCTTATAAAATATTAATACTATACTTTAGATACATATTGAATTTGTAACTTGTAACATTCTCATTATTGTAGTCAATTAACATTTATTGCGAAACATGTCTGTACCGGCACTGTTTTGTTATAATGTGTCAAGCAAATAGCGAATTCTTGTTGTTATACTTTGTCGTTGGTGACCCGTTGTTGCAGAAGCCGCGGCTGTGGGCAGCGGCGCGGCGCGCGTCGACTGGGCGGCCAAGTACCTGCGCTGAGCCTCGACCGGCCTCGGCGCCGGCGCTGCCCATTGTTGTTGTAGTTCGTGTTGCGTCGCTTAAGCTAACGTTTGTAGACATTACTTCGCAATAGGGTACCTACGTGCTACTTACATCGATATAGGTACTTGATTACGGGTGTAAGTAGTCTAGTCTACTATATTCGATTTTGAATATCGTACGTATTGGTTGTTGTACAAATGAAATGAAATGAAATGTCAATTACGTACCCGTTATTAATGCATCGCCTTATGAGAACGCCGAACGCAGTCAACGAAGAAAGTTCAGTTCGCTCAGTCTAGAAAAAGTAAACTACCGTTACGGCGTAACAACTTCGGTTACAACTTTGGTTTCTCTCGCCGGATGTGGCAATTGCAGTACGTTCAGGTGGGTCAATAATAGGTACGTTGAGAAACCACTTTATAAAACAAATTATTATTTTTAAGTATTCCTCTAATGTGCTATAGAAGACAAACATATAAAACTGTAGACAAACTACGCTGACGTGCCTTGTGCGTACGTGTGAAACAGAAGAACATCGTGGTGATGCAAATTCCCGTCATACAGGGGCCACCTAAAGATATTGAAAGCTGTCAAAACATAATATTATTAGCTCACCATTCATATCGCGTTCAAATTTGCATACAAAAAAAAGGCAACTAGATACTTCAGACTGTGTGTGCGCGCTTGTATTGGCAGAACTCCAAAATTGTTTGTGGAATGTAATGTCAAGATGTATTAAGGCAAAACCGGCATTCTCAACAATATCTTGTCCTAAGAATGTGGTTCTCCCGCGGGAGCCAGCACTATGTACCGTTGTGGTCAATCGTTAATCAGTGGGTGTTTACTCAAGATTACTCCAGCATACAGGGTTCAACTTCAACAGTGGTGGAAGAGCGGTGGACTCTAAAACTCTAGTTTATTGTCCTCTATATGTACCAACTCACCTCACCGAGTGTAATAGAGTATACCGACAGTGTACGGTTCTTAATAAGAAAGGGCCCGAAGAAGACGTGGACGCCCTAAAATTTACCGCGTTGGAAAATCAATAAAGAAAATAAAAAACGGCTGAAAATTTCACCAAACCCTTGCCAAAGAAGAATATCTTGAAGACAAATAGTGTCCCTAGTGCGAAAGAGTTGAAATTTTTCTTCTTACCCTCTCACGTGTATTGATGTAACATTATATGAACAAATACATACTTAAAAATAATAATATTACTTTATCATAAATTGGTTTGTCTACGTATATTGCCCATAGCGCCATTCTGTAACAATTGTCAGTAAAAAGTCTAACTGCTTGAAGAGTGTTTCCCTTACAACATTGGTACCTCTATCGACATCGCCACCGCCATTTAGGCATAGGCCACTCACCAATAACCGTAGTATTAACCGCCCTAAGCCGGGCAAAACTGCGCGACAATAGCGACAGTTGGGTTTGAAAAACATCTTGTGTGCCTTTTGTTTAACATTAAACAACATTTTGTTATTTGGTACTTGTCTATGCTACTCCTTGCCTTCTGTCCGCGGAAGATGTAGTTTTCTTTCATACTTATACATAGAATATATGTAGTGGCCTCTGTACTTACACTTTCAGCTAGCGCTGTGTAAAACGCTTATTACACTACCTAATCAGAAGGGACTTGAGCAAAGGGTGGGCGTGGCTCCTGATTAGGGCCCCGCTCGAGCGCTCTTATTAACTTATTTATAAGGCGCTCGAAGCAGGGACCTTTACTCCCTAACCGTGATACACCTCCCTAAGTTTATGTTACGGTCCCTTGAAATGTAATACGCGTTTAATTAACTCGATGTCTATCCCTAGAAGTAGAAGTGTTTAATAAGAAGAAAACATGGCGCGTGTGTTCGTCTGATGTGATAATAATTAACCGACTTGAAAAGGAGGAGGTTCTCAATTCGATTGTATTTTTTATACGTACCTACGTTACGCGACAAATCCATTTGTGAACCGATTTTAATTTTTTTTTCTGTTGGCATGAGGGGTACCTCGGTAGTGATCCCAGAAAATATTCCATCTCTAAGGGTGGCAAACTAGGAGAAGAATAAGGTTTCGCGCACTTTCCGGTAACCGATTCCAAGAAAACTTGGCAAGTAGATGTATTTCCACGAACTTTTGAAGTCGGTTTTTTTAGTACTCTGCACTGAGAGTATTTATATATATTATTATAAATTAAATTCAGTTTAGAGGTACCTACATACTTAAGAAGAAAAAAGTGTTTAAGTAGCACCGGTTTTGTATACAGTCGCTGGTTCGAGCCGCCTGGTCCCTGCCGGATCTAAGGAATTTTTGTTTGTGTTTATTCAATCTTTGTATGTACTAATAAAAAACAACTAACTGGTGGAGTATTTAGAGAAATACCTATATAACATATACGCGGGGCGCACTATAAGTTTCGGGAATGAATAAGAAAAAAATACTACATTATGAAAATGATTTAAGTCAGAAAAGAATTTATTGTTTCTCACAATATTCTCCGTTAGCGTTAATGCACTTTTTCATATGAATGAATGAATTTTGAAAACATTTATGCCACTCCTCCGTGACAATCTCTGAAACATATTTTTCATACTCTTCGACAGCCTCTTCAGGTGATGAAAATCGTTGACTACGCGGTCAACTGGTACTTAATTTTTGAAAATAAATAAAAGTCAGGTCGGGACTGTACGCAGGATGGCCATGGGATGGCTCATAAGGTCAACGTTGTTCACCTTCAAAAATTAATTTATCTGTCTGGCCGTGTGAGAACTGGCAAAATCGTGGTACAAGATGATACGGCGTTTACGGTTATTTTTACGAAGTTTGTCAATAACTTCCGGCAAACAAATGGTCGTGTACCAATCACTATTCACGGTACAACGATTCTCCAAAGCAACAGTATGTTTGTGTAGTATTGATTGTATTTGACTAATGCCTATGCCTAAAGAAGCCCGGATGTCATGGTATGTCACATGTCTGTCTGTTTTGATCATACGGCGCACAGCATCGATGTTTTTGTTGTTCACAGCAGTGGACGGCGACCACCACGAAATTCGTCACTGAGACTCACACGACCGCGTTTGAATTCTGCAAACCAGCTATAAATAGTCGTCTTGCATAGTGCTTCATCGCCAAAAGCAGTTTGAAGCCGAGAGAAGCTCCGCAGAGCTGTTAAATTACACTTAAAGTCGTAGAAAATCACACTACGAAATTTTTCACGAGTTAAATCCATGGTGATGTAGACAACCAATTTCTAAAATGACGCCACAATGTAAAAACAAGCGACAGTCAGATGAAACTAACTGTATTCTACAACCAAAGAGATCCTTTTTCAAATGTTGTAATTACTTTTTAAATATTGTTAATATAAGTGACCAATTCCGGAAACTTATAGTGCGCCCTATGTATACCTAAATATCATGGTAGTAAAAGCAAGCAGCGGCCGTGGGACCGAATCCGGCTTCGCACCTCAGTTTCTCGAAATTTATGTGCGGAATTTAATTAGAAATTAACCATGAACTTTTCGGTGAAGGAAAACGTCTCGATCAAACCTGCACGTCGAAGGTTCACAACCCTTGGAAGACGTGTGAAGTCCCCGACCCGCATTGGGTAAGGCTGGCGAGCTTGTGGCCTGAACCCCCGCCTGAGAGGAGACCCGTGCTCAGCAGTAGGACGTATAAAACGGGTTGATCATGATGGTAGCAAAAACATCATGATATTCAATAAGTTTCTAAATAAGTATTTGCTTTAAAAATGATCTAAGTTTGAAAAGTATTCTCAGCAAATTTAAGTTCCATTGGTTCACGGAATACATTTGTATGTACCGATGTTGTATCGATGCAGTAGCGCGTTTGCATCGCTGCGTAAAGTCGCCGTGTCTAACCGCTCTGAGAGACTAGCTATGTGCCCAGTTTCTAGGCTTACAATATGTGCTGCTTAGAGGATGGAAAAAAAAATAAAAGAAAGGAGGTAACTACAGACTGAACGTGCATACCTAAACAAAATTTGAACGAACAAATGGCGGATTTCTTTAGTGTCGTACCATAATCTATCGATAAGTCATTATCGACATGCAAACATTTAATTAAAGTAAATCAATATTCCATTTGGGAATATTTTAGGTTATATGGGAATATCCGGGAATGTCACATGAAATTTTGAATTTATTGTTTTGCGTTTACAAATACTCATATATTACGAAAAGTTAATTTGCACGGAAAAAATGTAATTTGAGAGTAGGTATATAAAAAAGAGAAAACTTTGAAATATAACTCCTATACATTTCCAATCTCAAGATTCATAATTTCATAGAGAAATTTTTAAACAGATTTATATATGTCAACATAACATGTCCTTTAGTTTCCATGGTCTAAGATGTGCTGTATTCGAGTGGTTTTATTATATTATTATTGAATACGTGAATTATATTATTATTATTCTATTATTAGTGAATTGCATATTTAATGGACTATCTGACATGGTAGTACAGAAGGGCCAAGAGCTGAGATTTGAATTCAACTCCGACGCTTGCGGCAGGACGGCCCAAAGAGTCGAGCTCGATGTGCTCTTGACTGTACCATGGCAGCGTGGTCAATAATGTTGAGGCCTTTTAACCTAGGGCATAAAAGACCTCAGTAGTTAAACGGTAGAAATATTAATTAAAAGCTGACAAGTTATTTTTGCCCTCGGTGTTTTTGAGGAATTGTTAACGACTAATTGTTATTATTATAAGAAAACTTATTTAATTGATCCCACGATTAAGTGACATCAACATTAGTGTAGTCATAATAGGTCTAAAACAAAAAATAAGGTGTACTTTGATGTCCTAAATAACTTTGTTACTTTTGCCTGTACATGTGAAGAGGTCAGGGTAAATAAGTAATTTGATTTCTTCCTGCAAGTGGTGGTCCTGGCGATGAAGTTCTAATCCTTTTATGAAATGAAAGGTTTGATCAACGATAATTACGCTAAGGATTATGTCTTCTCCCGGCGACTTCAGCTTCCACAGTTAAAATATCTGTACGTGCCGAACTGGATATAAAGTATCCGATATTTCCGATCGCCATATAATATAACTGCCTCCGTGGCCGAACGGTTACCATGCCAGACTGCCATGCAGAGGTCCTGGATTCGATTCCTAGGCCAGAAGAAATATGTGTATGGCCTACATTTATTTCTCTCGTGAGTTTGGGTGTAATTTGTGGTTATCTGTGTGTGTGTGTCCATGGCATCCGCGACCCAGGGTTTCCCTAGTGCGGGGCTATGTTGAGTGTGTGCGTTATAAAAAAAGTTGTAATTATACAGGACAGTATCCGTGACTAACTGTAACTGAAATCTTTTTAATTTTAATAGAAATTGCTGAAAAATATAATTCTACAATTATTATAAGAATAAAGAAAAAAATAAAAACGATACTGCATTCGACGAAAAGTGGAAGTTGTAATTTGACAGATGTCACTGTTAACTGCCCCCGTGGCCGAACGGTTACCATGCTGGACTGCCACGGAGAGGTCCTATGTTCGATTCCCAGGCCGAGAGAAATATGTATATGGCCTACCTTTATTTCTCTCGTGAGTTTGGGTGTAATTTGTGGTTGTGTATGTATGTGTCTATGTGTGGTTCATGGCGCCCGCGACACAGGTTTTCCCTAGTGCGGGGCTATGAATGTGTTGCGCTAAAAAAAACTGTGCCTAGCTAATAGTTTATTCGGGTTTGATCGAAAGAATATCCGTAAAGAATAGCCAAAAGTCAGTGATGCATATATCAAAAACACAATAGTAATAATACCCCTGAGACGCGAATCAACCGAAAAACACAGGAATAAAAAAAAATATCTATAACGTTGGCATATCGACTTTATTTAATTTTATTTTCACTTTAGACAAGATTTTCACCCATTTATTTGGGTAGGCAAAG